CGTGAGATTCAAAATATTGTAACACGAAAATTATTGTTGCACTTCTGAGCATAACTTTCAAATTTAAAAAATCTATGGAAAGAAAAATCGAGACAAATTTTTTTTAGATTAATAGACTCCCCTTTTAAAGCTGAATTGAATGGTGGTAAGTTTTTTAAAATCCAATGTATGGATTACATAATATTTCAAAAATTTTAACTTTTGAGTATAGATGATCCGCACTGTATCATAAATGCGCATATAATAAATAAGTAAATGGCATGTTTAAATTTTTTTTCCTGGAAATGTTATTAATAAATAAATATCTATAAAAAACATAGCTAAACCCTTATGCATAACATACTATGCATGGCACATCACTAGTTACTATACAGTAATAGTGGAAGCAAAAATAGAGTAGTAACAAGTAAATTATATTCTCTTCAAATGGATAAGACTGACCATTTTGTTTTCAATTAACTTGTATTAATACAATTCCAACTCACAGGAGAATGAATCAAACGATCTGGAAGTCATGACAAATCAGATTGACTAGCATCTGATAAAATATTTGTAATGTAAATAGATGAAAAGATTAGCATGAATTTTAAAACTAAACATTAGAAAATTAATTGTATATATACTTACAATTATAACTATTGAAAATTGTGATTTTATCTGAATTAACAGGCTGTGGAAGATTTGTAAAATTAAAAATTCTACTAAACAGCATTTGGGTGAAAACTTGTTATATTGAAGGATCATATGGTATTTATCCATTGTTTCAAATTCTTTTCTAATTGATTTTAATTCTTTAAATTGTTCTCAAGAATAATTAAACATTTTTAAACCAGCTTTTGTATTCCTGAATGAATGCCTCCAAGAATAAATAATATCTTGAATCTTTTTTGCAATTGATCATTTATTTGGATCAGCATCCATACATTGACATGCTAATTTAATATAAAACTTTGGTGTGTTAGAGCATCCTGGCCTTAATCCTGTACATATACCTATTGCAAGAGCTGAATCATGATCCAAATTACTGAAGGGTCTTATACCAGTTGATATTAATGTCATGAACACACCAAAACTATATATATCAGCTGCCATTGTATATGGTTGACCATTTAGAACTTCTGGAGCAATATATGGCATTACCCCTATTGCACTATTTGATGGTGTTTGATTTACTGGAATTGATAACCCTAAATCTGAAATTAATATTCCACCACCTTCAGAAGTATTTATTATGATATTACTACTATGAAGATCACAATGAACAAGTTCTTTCTTATGGACATTGGATAAATCATTAATAACACTAGATAGAATCTCTATTTTTTTTTCCCAATTTATGTTTTTAAATTCTTTTTTAAATAATCATGAAGATTCCCTTATTTTGCATGATTCATTACAAATATAAAATCATTTGTAACTGGGTCCTTTGTTATTCCATAAAGTGAAATTATAAAACCATCAAGATGAAATTTAATATGATTTTTGAACTAAAAAAAAAACAAATATAATTAAATTCAGCAACGATATATAAAAAAACTTAATAATTATAAAGATATTTTTACCTCATTTAAAAATTTATTTTGAGACTTTATTAATCTTTTTAATACAACAATGGCTGGATTTTTTTATTGGCCTTATTATCTATATATCTAATACCACCTTTCCAGGTAGCTTTGTATATGGTTGCAAAACCACCTTTACCTATCTCTTTAAGATCTATGAATAAATAAGCAAATGTTTGATTTTGTTTTGTGCTTTAATTAGTTGAGCCAGATGATAACCATCATATATAAAACGGCCATTAATTTTATTTTTACCAGCACTTGTTAATTCATCAATGAATTCAAAATTGCATGGAAAGATTTTGAAAGCAAGTGTCAAATCTATGATGATTAATCAACTTATTACATCTTAAATCAGTCTTAAATTTTCAGATAGTTGTCTAAATACAATAAACTTAGGCCAATTACTTGAATCATTTTTAAAATATGAAAAGCCAATTTGGTTCCAAATTCAGCATAATTATATAATGGTGGTTTCACCAATAAATCAAACTTCAATTATTCTTCAAGAAGTCTTCTGCTGCTACTGAACAATTAATCAATAATTTGATGCTGTTTCCTGAAATAAAAGGTCTTCCTCATAAATTGGGATATTGAGATTCTGCTATTTTTTACTAACAATAATACAAGGGGTATAGAGTTTTATAATCATTCTCAGGGTATTTAAATGTTTGTGTTAAAAGTTCAGGCGGTATTATCAACAACAAATTTTTTGTACCACCACTAGTATTTAGATTTAGTTCATTCTAAAAAAAATAAAAGATGTCTTCCACTACTTCTCCTTCTCCTTCCTCTTCATCTTCTAACAAGAAAAAATTATCTGATCAAGGTAAGCAAAAGAAATTATAGGAAACTTGTTTTAAGAATTTCATTCTTTTAAATAATAATAATTATTATTATAAACATAATTTTTTGTGGTATTAAAATTTATTTTTAGAGGTGACTTTACAATTTAATGCATTGAAATCGGAATTACAGAATATAGCACAAAAACTAGGAGAACTAGAATCTGAATCTGAAGAACACAAGTACTTTTTTTTTTAGCAAAAAATATTTGAAACGAAATAAAATAAATAATAACTTTTTAAAGACAAAAGAAAAAAAAACCAAAAATTTGGAATAATCATAATCATCTTTTATTTAATGTTTACCCATTCATCTTATACCTAGAGCTGTGATTGATACATTGGCTCCATTAAGTGGTGATCGTAAATGTTTTCGACTTGTTGGTGGAGTATTAGCTGAACGGACTGTTAAAGATGTTTTACCAGCATTACAAACAAATTATGATATGGTAACTTTCTTATGTGTGTTAATTTATAATAATAACAATAATAATAGTAACAGGGGGATTTTTTTTTTTTAATTAGATTCAAGGTGTAATAGATCAATTAGTTAAAAATTATAAAAAAAAGGAAGAAGAATTTATTGCTTTTCAAAAAGATAATAATATTCGTGTCATCTCAAGGACATAACTGTAAACGAATGAGCTTTGATTATAGTTTAGTTTATAAAAATAAAAATAATAATTTATTATTATTATTATTATTATTGTTATTATTTAAATTTTATTTCCAAAATTTAATCAATTCTAATTAACCTATGAAAGAAAAATATTTGTTTTTTAGAAATTAAAAACCTCAAAGATATTATTATTGCTAATGCCAAGTATGATACTAACATATAACTTCCTGTCTTTAAAAGTTTCTTTACAATCACTTAAATTTATTCAAAGATCACATTGTATTATTATTATTTTGTAATTTAGACATGTTAACATATAAATAATTATTGGTCAATTGAACCATCCATTAACAATTATAATTATAATAAAATATAAAAATTTATTCTGTATCAAATATAGGGAAATTCTTATACATTCCATATGTTTATTTTCTACAGGGATTTTCCTGGTGGTTTTGATGAATCTTCTACCTTGCCATCTAAAATAAAAAAAAAAAAATTTATTTATTATAAATATACATATAAAGATAGATCTTGTATAAAAGTATTGGCATATACGCACCCTCAATCTAATGCACATTTAATACAGCCCAATATTAGCACAGCCCAATACATCCTTACCAGACCCAACTGTAGCAAGAATTTGTTTAGCCAAACCATTGTTACTGGTGAAATTGTTGAAAGTGTTAAAAATTGTCTTGTTACATCGAATGAAGATAGCTGTTGGATCAGCAACAGCAATCGAATCAAGAAATTAGAGATTAGGTAAGTTGACTAAAATGTCAATATCATCTTGAGCTATGCAAAATTTGTCTTCAGTGTTTTAAAACATATTGTTATGATTTCTACTAATGGTTTGTCGCATCAGCTTTACATCTATCTTGGACAGCCTTATGAACATCTGGTACACACCATCATCTTGGTGTTTGACAGATGCCAGTAGGAAATTGTATATATAAGGGATCTTCAAGTATTTTAAATTTTCTTATTGTATTGATCAGTTATAATTGATAAAGTACAGGTATTGCAATGTAAAAATTCTGATTTAATTTTATTTTAAAGATATCTCTTTAAATTCCAAATAAAAGCTTTTTCCTAAGGATTTATGGGAAATTATTTCAGACTATTATGTAGCTTCTGATGAACAATGAGCCTTAAACTTATTACCATCAAAGAAATCCAAAAAGTAAATCAATAATTGCAGAACTTGAATCAGCAACAATTAATCAAAATTTACATTGCTTTGTTCAAGTTGGGTTGATCGAAAAAATTTACCATATAATTTGTCAAATATGAATTTATGACTTTATATTATAATAGTAGAGATGGTTTAAAATGTGATCGTATCAACAAAATTCTTGTAATTCAGATCAATTAGTTGGTGGTTATAATCCGCTTGATTGGGATAAAAGTTATTTTTTTGAATCCAGATTCAAAAGAACTACTGATAGTTTTATTATAGAAATGTGCACAATTAAGTTATGCAATTAGGGAAAATTTTCAAAAAATACCAAATTATTAGAATTTATTTATACATCATCTATATAGGGAGGGTTGCATTGCATGGCAATGGTAACGCGACATAGCAATATCACAAAGGACTGTATGTAATATGGAATTTACTTTGGAGAAAAAAACAGACTCAGTTTCGAATTAATACAATAAAACCACTCTAGAGACAAAACTTTGACATCCATTGTTGTTCCCTTGAGAAATGAGTAGCCACAGGATAAAACCGCTATTAATTGATATATATAATAATAATAAACTTGCTGATTGAACTTTAGCCATTTAAGAATGCGATATTGTCTGGGGTCGCACCCCAAAATTAGTGCAAAATAATGTTCGTGCAATCAAAAATGATAAAATTTTATTATTTCAGTAAAATTTCAAAATGCCAACACAACAAACTCCAAATACTATAGACGATCTGTTACAATACATTTCATCTACTGCAGAACTTGATAATTTTGATACAATTAGTAAACAATTAGCTCCAACTTTAAAAGAAATCCAACCACAAGTTTTTACGCAATCTACTTCAGATGATAAAGATCCTCTTGAGCTTTTGGATCCAAGTACTTCCAGTTTAGCATATACTTATTTTTTGTAGGTTAACAAAAAATTAGATAGTTGTAATAAAATTTATAATCATTGTAATTTTTTTATTTTATTTTTTTAATTTTATTAGAGCTGCACGATGTCATACTGAAGATCCAAATCCCACACGTTTAGTACAAAATCTCATTCAATTCTTGTCTGTATTTGATTCCAGACAAGTTCATTTGGTGCCAGATAAATGTATGCATCTATATCTACATAGCTATATATCTACAAGTATATAGATTAAAATCAATTAATTATATATTATTATAGTTCTCCAGGTTGTTCAAGGACTTACTAGATTAGCAACAGCATACCAAAAAGTAAGGAGTTAGCCATAATAATACTAATGACTTTTTTTAAAAAAAAAGTATCAAAGTATCATCTATAATTATAGTCATCATCATCATCATAACCATCATCGTCATGAATGAATATTTTTAGATGTATTAATCATTAGTATTATTATTTTTGTAAATTAAAACAATTTTTAGAATTTTATAACGATTAAACCGATCGCAAATGCACTTTTAAGATATGCGCCAAGTCCTAAACATTTGACAAATGTTCATCAAGTTTTTATCAAGGTATAAATGATTACTAAAGCCCTTCTCTTGTTTATTTATTTATGTTATATTTTTTGAATTTATTGATTTTTAATTACAATTATGATTATGAAGGAATGTTTGCTTTCAAAATGTTATAAACAAGCTCTTCAAATTTTAGATACAGATATTACAGAGATAGAATTAGTGGTAATCTTTTTTTTTTTTCAAATATATGTTTTTATTGATTTGATCTATATTGATAGAATTTACCAAATTTACATTTTTATTATTTTTGTTCACTAATAACATTGAATTAGGGAACTGGTATAACTTATCAAGATCATTTGCTTTATCATTATTATGGTGCAATGGTGTATATAGGTTTAAAGAAATACGAACGTGCCTTGTATTTTTTAAAGTTGGTAAGGATTTTTTTTGGAGCAATAAATTTTCTATATAAAAGAAATAATTAAATTAATCCTTTTCTATAAAAAAATTAATAATTAATTGATTAATTAATTATAGGTAATATCTGCACCTGCAGTTAATATAACCAGCCAAATTCAATTAGAGGCATATAAAAAATTTGTTTTGATTTCACTATTGCTGCATGGAAATGTAAATATATTTTTTTTTTTTCAAGAAATATATTTTCCAAATATTGTTTATTATTTTATTATTTTAATTGATGATTATATTTTGTTAAAGATTGTGCCACTCCCAAAATATACAGCTTCTATAGTTTTTCGTTCAATTAAAAACCAATGTCAACCATATCAAGATTATGCATCAGCATTTGAAGCTTTGAGTGTGAAAAAATTGCGTATTGAATTCAATAAATCCATAGAAGTTTTTAAAAAAGTAATTTTTCAAGAAAGGTTTTTTTTATAAATAAAAATGTACTTTTATTAAAAAAAAAATTTTTTTTTTAGGATAATAATTTTGGGTTGGCCAAACAAACATTAGATGCAATTTATAGTCGCAATATTCAACAATTAACACAAACATATTTAACATTATCTTTAACTGATATTGCTGATACTGTTGGTTTGGAAGGTCCAAATGCACATAAAATTGCCGAAGGTTATGTTTTACAAATGGTGAATTGAATTTATTTTCTTAAAATAAGAAAATAATTCTTTTTTAGATTTAGATTTAGATTTATATAATTTTATTTTAATTAGATTGAATCTCGACAAATATTTGCAACTATTAGTCATTCTGATCAAAATGGTATGGTATCATTTCATGATGATCCAGATCGTTACAATACTTCAAATACAATCAGTAAGCTTGAACAACAAATAGACAAAGCTACCAGTGTCAGTGAACGCGTTATTAAGACAGATAAAATTATTGGTTGTAGCAAGGAATATCTCTCAAAGGTCAATAAAATTTATTTGGCAATAATAATAATTAATATTAGTATTAGTTTATTAGTAGTAATAATAATATATATTTTTTTTTTTTGATTCTTTCCAGAGCCAAAGTTTACATGGAAGTGGTATAATGTCTGGTGGTCCTGGCGATGATCCAGAATTTTTGGTTGGAGGTGGATTCGATAGTTTTGATGATGGGAAGTACATGGGATAAAAATCATGCATTACTTTATCATTAATGAAATAATAATTAAATTAATTTAAGATTTTAACCATAGTGCAGTGATAATGATAATATTATATATTTGTAAAGAAAGAATTAATCCTAAAAATTTTTATATACATTGATGATTTATTGTTGTTGTTGTTATTATTATTATTATTATTATATAATAAGATTTTAAAATTTCAGGATTACCATTCAATTTGGTTTTTTTTTTATCAAGACTTTTGAATGAAAGATTCCCTTTTTTTCGTGTTTTCTTTCTTTGCCTCAATTTTCTTTTACCCTTTTATTGCTCCTCATTGTGAATAAAAAAAGGAATTTCATTCAAATTGATATTGATATTAATTACTTTTTAAGATTATTCCGCTAGAAGAAATAAGTGTTGTTTGTATCATTAATTTTTCAAGTTAAATAACATTAAAATCGACTATATTTAAATATATAATTTTTTTAAAAATAATTAAATAAAAAAAAAGAAAGAAAAAAGGTAAAATTTTTTATCCCATCGATATATCAAAATCAAATGATATAACTTACAAGAAATTTGGCTACAAAATAACTATTACTACTCTCAAATTCTGATGCTGTTGTTACTGTTGTTATTGTTGATTTTGATGCTGAAACATTGTTGTCATTAATTAAGGTAGCACTAGTAGCAACGTTGGCAACTTTGGCCACTTCAGCAACTTTAGCAGATGATGACATATAATCATGATGAAAATGATGGTGGTGGTGAAGAAGATGACGATAATGAGGCTTGTTTGAAAAATCTTGACAAACATCGCGTAGACGTTTATTATTCAATTTTGTTTCTATCTTCATACCATTATCATCTATATCATATAATGTTATTTCATAATTAACATCTCTATTATTTACTTCGCATTGAAGATCATCTATTCTTTTAGCTAAGACATAATTTGCCTGAGAATTAGGAAAAGGGTTGGTTAGAAATCAACAATAGTAGTAATAATTTTAATTTTAATAATAATAACAATAATAATAATAATATCGTATACAAACGTATGCGTCAGTTGCTGCATATTCTTTTTGAGCCTCGCTAAGAAAATTAGATGACCAATTGCTCATTACAATATGACGAGGTTTTGCTATTTCATGATTTAACTTGTAATTTAGAGAAAACAATTTCATACTTAACACAGTTTGTAAGATTATTAATAAAAAAGTAAAATAAATTTCTACATTAGTTACAAAATTCAATCCAAAAACAACATACCAAAACTTCCACCATTTTAGATAACTTTATAATTCTTGATCTTCTATTTAGGAAATGTTCTTGTTTGACTTGTAAACAAAGTGAACTCAACTCCAATAAACTTTTGCATTTTATATTGTGACCTTTGAATAATCTTCTCGCGTCGTTATTTATATTACAACCAAGCTTATAAATATCTTTACTTTCCAAGATTTTATATAGAATTGATGGTATTAATTTCATACGAGCAATGTGAATTAGGTAAATGTTGGAGTCATCACACAGTTGTATTAAAGAAACTTTTGAATCTCGTATGAATGGATTCCATTCCAGATCTAATCCAAATGTTTGAGAACTTATTCACGAATGTGCATGCATATAATAATAATATTATTATTATTAGATTAAAAAATAATGCTATAAAATCACTATTTAAAATAATTGATGATGATGATGATGATGATGATGATGATAATAAACCTATTTTCATATAGCCATTCATTTGCTTGTTGCTCTGAGCTAGTGTACTTTAAAATGTATTTTTTATCTTTCTTATATGATAAAATAGGTAGGTTTGATTCCTCTGTTGTTGCAATAGTTGCAGGAATTGGATGTATTTGTTGTATCGATGATGATGATGACGGCGACGACGACGACGACGACGATAATGATGACGATGGCGATGAAGCCAATGCAACAGTAGAAGCTAGTTTGGTAGTAGAAGATTGAAAATCATCAATTTTATTGCCATTAATTCCCAAAGCAACTTGCCCAAAATATCTTTTTTTGCTGATTATAAAAATTTCAAATTTTCTTATATCGTTTCTTTTTATTTGTTGAAAAACATTGATATTTCTTTTTTATGTTTACAAATGATAATAATAATAAATTATAGTTAATTGGTATTTTGCTTTAAGAAATAAAATAAAATTAATTTTTTTACCTGAAACACCTGAAAACATTCATCATTAATTTTAAAAAAATTTTTTTTTAAAAAGTCGCGTTTATTTGTTTATTATAAAATTTTTTTCCAAAACAAGTATAATTACATTTATAATGTCACGAGTTTCCAAATAAAAAAAATTTGTCGCAGTAGAGAGAGAGAGATTATAAAAAATACCACCCATTAAAAATTCAAAACTACAAAAGCAAATTATTTGTTTGACGCGCTCGTATAATAAATAAGGAAATCCGTTACACAAGAATGGAAAATAATAATCAAATTTTTGGCTGTATTGATTGGCTAATTCAAATTTCACGTGGATTGCAAATGCATTTGTTTTACAAATCATTAATTTAAGCAAAATAATCGGCAAATCTTTGTAAATAAAAAATACATGACCTTCACAAATTTTTTCAGTTTATAAAAATAATAATAAAAATAAATTTTCTCTCTCTATCAAAACACTGCAATGGAAAATTTTTTTGAAGAGGAATATGAGGTAAATCATTATATATAATAAAAAATAATAAAGAAGAAAGAAAATTATGATTTTTTGTTAATATTCTTTTTCCCTCAGAAAAATTTCATTTTAAAGATTTATTACTAATTTGTGAAACTCTTTGTATATTATTGCTTTATTGCTTTATTGATATATATACACGTATTTGCATATATGTAAAGGTTGAACAAATTGTAGATGAAAAAACTGTAAAAGTATGCCGAATTTTGAATTTGAATTTAAAAATGATTTTTTTTACTAATTTACATTATTATTTATTATACATGCACAGGGAGTTTTATTTTATTACATAAAATGGGAGGGATATGATCATTCTTATAATACTTGGTAAAGTATCGTTATTATCATTATGGTAAAATGAGTGTAATCTGTATAAATGGATATATGTAGTATGGAAGTAAATCCATGATTTTGAGAAATCTAGATCTGCTTCATTTAAAGTAACCATCTATTATAATTGATGTTTTATAACTTTAAAGAAATTTTCATAAAGTAAATATGTCCATGTTTCTAATATGAAAAAGATCTAATGCTCAAAATTGGCCAGGCGCAGCTTCTCTCAATTTACCATTTATGCTATTAATTCTACTTTATTACGATTATTATTATTATATTGCAAGATTGATTGACTAATTTTCATAAATATTCATTAGGGAACCATATGAACATCTTACTAATTGTACAGAACTAATTAAACAATTTAAAGGTGAGAAAAAAGTAAAGCCAGTTAAAAAGAAATCTAGATTGTCAAAACCAAAATCAAAACCAAAACCATTTTCTTTTGAAGAATTGCTTATAGTAAGTGTGTGAGAGAAAAAGCTTTTAAATATTTTCTGCTCCTCAAATATTATATCATCTAATCCGCATATATTTATTTACACACATGTACTTTATTTAGACAAAAAGTCAAACCAAAGGCGTTCTTGAATTTGAAGCTTTCCTAAATAACAATGTTAAGGATGGACCAATGATTCCTGTTATCAATGAGATAGATGATGAAGGACAACCTCCAAATTTCACCTATGTTGACTATTACATATATGGAAACAAAGTCCCCAAACCAGATGTTTTAAAATGTGGCTTAGTAGGTTGTGATTGTGAGGGTGGACATTGTAAAGGGAATGAATGTAAATGTTTAAAAGAACATAATCTAGGAAAATTAAACTATGAAAGATCATCACAAAAATTACGTCTGAAGCCAGGAAATGCAATATATGAGTGCAACTCTAGCTGTTCTTGTGATGCTAATTGTCATAATAGAGTGACTCAACGTGGACGTACAGTACCATTAGCAATACAAAGATTCATGGAGAAAGGTTGGGGTGTTGTAGCAATGAAAGAAATACCATCTGGTATTTTTATTACATATTATTATGGCGAGCTGATAACCACAGAGGAGGCAGATATAAGAGGTGCAACATATGATGAAGTTGGAAGAACTTATTTGTTTGATCTTGATTTCACATCAGAAGACGAATTAAATCTTTATACAATAGATGCCAGTAATTATGGCAACATATCACATTTCTTAAATCACTCATGCGACCCTAATCTAATTGTGGTGCCTGTGGTGAATGATAATGCTGATATAAGACTGCACCACATTGCATTTTTTACAAAAAGAGATATTAGAATCGGTGAAGAGTTAACATTCAATTATAATGGATCGCTTGAATATCCTGATGAAAGTACTAGTTATATAGCAGAAGATGATAATAATTTTAAATATAAATATATTTGTAAATGTGGTGCTGAAAAATGTAAAGGTTATTTTCATTCTTGAAATATTTTTTTGGTTTATATAAAAAATTCAATGATATATTAGTAGTGATTAAATAAATATAGAAATAAATAATAAATTTTGCTTCTTAAATAAATATACTACTGTAAATATATTTTTTGACGTGAATATATACGACACTAAAAAAAAAAAATAGTAATTCAGAACATGATTGTAATATATATATGCAACTTACATTATCTGGGTTAAATATAGAGAATACCAGCCAGTGGAAAACGTTTTTTTAGAGCAATGTCGACATTAATGGACCTAAGGGCGCAAACACTTGAGGACTACTAATATGGCATAGCAACAATAGGATCACCAAATAAGGTTACCTAATACTAGGTTATTTTTTTGATTTAACTAATTCAGGTTGGTATTACTTAAAAAGGAAAAAGATAAACAATTACGAGCAAATCTTTCCAACAGTTACGACATAGCCGTAACTATTATTTATAGTTCGGTAATATGTCTGCAGCAGCATATCCAAGTTAACTGGGAAGGTTAAAGTTGTCAGTTTAAAAGATTATCACAAAGAAAGATATTATAACCAAAATACTTGTATGTTTAACATAATGTTAGCACGACGTTGACTAACTTGTGCTTTTTTTAATATTTATTATCACGTGTCGTGTAATGTCAAATTATAGTTTCAAAAAGTTGAGAGGAATATTTAGCAAATTAATCAAAAAAGCAATCGAAATTTTCACATGGAATAAATAAAAGGTCAATTGTCCACGTAACTGATTATACTTGCGTTAGTTCGCAAAAGGGTTTAAGAAATATCCATAATTTTTAAAAGATAAAATCAATGTGTGAAATCAATATTTTTTTTTCAACAATTGTAATATTTGTTTATTTTTGATATAGACACATACGCTTGAAAAAATTGTTTGTATCATCGGTTGATGGTGTAATAATCACATATATATGCAGGATGGACGATAGATCGATCAAGATTCTTTTTCTAAAGCAAAAAATATTTCACAATGCATTAAAAATAATAATTGTTGTATCTTCCTTAACTTATTTTTTCTTGTTTGGTGATTTTAAGGAATCGAATTTCCGACACGTGTATCGGTAGGTAAATTGCCATTTTTCACCATTACCATCGGACCCGGAATGCTCAGATATTTTAAGAAATGGCAATTTGGTTAAAATTCAATTGGAGCTCAGATTGATGACTTGCCGCAGTACTTTTGTTGTTGATGGAACAAAGGAAAAGTCTGTAATGGGAAAATTAGCAGACGTTTTAATGGCTACTTATCGGACATGAGAGATTGTCTTGAGATTAATGAAACTCGGTTTTAAAAATACAAAAGTTGGCGAGACAATACAGAAAATCGCATAAATTTATGGCACAAATTCTGTATAACAATTCAGATGTAGTGAAAAGTGACAAGAAGATAGAGGACGAAGAAATTTAAAATTATTGGCTGCTAACTTAAAACCAAGAAGAAGAAGAAGTGGAGAACAAGGAGAGGTAGCTTCTGCTGCGCAATATTAAAGGTATGATAGATGTAAATATATATTTCCTTCTTTTTTATTACCTCTCTCCTTTTCACTTTCTCGCTTTATTGCTAAAGTTCATTTTTAAATATTGTTCGAAAGGTTAATTTGCTGGAAAAGACTTAATGACATGCCTATATGAAAAAGCAACAAAGTCCAGGATGTGAATCACATAAAAAATTCAAATTAATACGTTTTATAAATCTAATATGATGTTAATATGTTAATATTAATGTGTAAGAAATGAGTAGTAACATTTGATTTGCCTTTCATCAATATTTTAAAATAAATGGTAGATTCTCTAGCAAAAGGTAGCTTAAAGTGCCCATATGACCAAAAATTGAGATTTTTGCATAATACATATTTATACAGTGCGGATCATCTATACTCAAAAGTTAAAAATTTTGAAATATTATGTGATCCACGCATTGGATTTTTAAAAAACTTACCACCATTCATTACCTTAAATTTTTGACCTGTTTTAATATTATTAATGTATCTTCTGAATTGAAAAAATTATTAATATTTTTAAATAGAAAAGGATAATAATAATAATAACTTGTGGCTTGAATAAAACGAATAATTCGAATAAACGAATAATTATAAAACGAATAAAGAAATCCCCCAAATAATTCGAACTAATACTAATACTAATATTAGTATTCGAAATAATTTGTATTATTAACATTACGAATAGAAACTCTAGCTCAACTCAAAAAAAGATTTTTAAATTCTCATAAATATCCGAGGAAATTTCACATAGTCAAACTCCACTTCAACGAATCTTATTACGTGATTAGTAATTTGTTATAACGAATTTTAAATGAACTATTTTCAATGGCCTGCAAAATCGTGATCTTATTACTGAATTTTATTTCAATTGTTTTTAATTGATTTTTCATTTTTTCCGTTGATTTAGATGAATAAAAGCCAGTGATATAAAATTACGGATATATACTACTAAGCAACATGCTATTATTACGTGGGTTTCTACAAATTTGCGTAAATACGTAATCAAATACTTAATATATTTATATAAATAAAAAAAATTCTATTAGCTATATTTATTTTTTTTTCAAATTTATTTTTTATCAATTATTTGAAATACTTCTAATTCATCATATTTACTACCACTTATTATATTAATGTCATTATAAGAAGATGAACTTTCCACAAGAATATTATTATTTGATTGAAAACGAAGATCATGACCACCACCAAAAACAGCTAAATATGAAGAATGACAGCGAATTGCATTATGATTCTTAATAACATAACTAAACTTTGCAGTATAAATATCATTTCTATCACTAATGTTAAAAATATAACTTTCAGTTGTACTTTTCCATATACCAGCTCCATTATTTAAATTCCAATCAAGTGGATTATAACCTCCTACTAATTGATCTGAATTTTGTATTTTGCCAACTACAAGAGTTTTATTGATATTATGACATTTTTGACGAAATATAGTTCCACTTAAACCATCTCTACTACCACAATATATAAGTTTAAATTCGTATTTAAGATCTCTGAATGAATTATATTGTGGGATTTTTTTATCAATCCAGTTTGCAAAAAGCAAAATAAGCTCTTGGTTAATTGTTAATGATTGAATTTTTGGAATTCTTGATGGTAATAAATTCAAAGTTTGCTGGTTAGCATCCATTATATAATGATGTAAAAGGTCATTCCAAAATAACTCTGAAAAAAGCTTCTGATATGTAATAATTTTAGAACAAAAATCCTTTAGGAATATCTTGAAATCTTATTAGAGGAATAAATTCTTTTAATGTATTTTCCATATCAACAAAATTTTGTGGTGACCAATTTTTAATTTCACTGTTATTGATCTCTGTATGCCTTGCTAATACCCATTTAAGAATATTTTCCCAAATAACTATTTCATCAATACAAAAATCATCCCTTTTAAGAATCTCCAATAAAGTTGGTTTTTCTAATGATTTAAATTCACTTGACTCAAATAATTTTTTACAAAATTTATTTAAGAAAATACTTTCAAATTCCATAAATTGTTTGTTAGAATAAACTGATTGTAAAATTTTAACTGGATTTTCTTTTATATAATCCTCACATTTTTCAATAAAGTAGTTCATTGTATAATTGTAAAGCCACTCAAGATCAAGTTCATCAGCTGCAATTAATATTTGCAAAATATCAACTCCAGTATAATTATCTAATTCTATATTACATGTATACAAGAATCTTTCAAAATAAATAAATGTTATTATTATAAACTCAACAATAATAATTAATTAACAATTTAATTTAAACTTACTTGAGAATAGGGTCAAAAGCTTTTTCACTAATATTGGCTTTTTCAATAATATAATACCCGTTTTTCTTTGTTGCATTAGTTAATGCATTTCTAAAAAATGGACAATGTGCACATATGATAGATGTATGTGCATGAATTTCTTTAATGTTTGGTTCTACACCAAGATATATTTTTACATCATAAAAATCTTCTGTATTTAATAATCTTTCGTTTTCATTAAAATATTTTTCCAAAATTGTTGAATCCATTTGGTCAAAAGGTAGTTTAATAATAAATTTTTTTAAGTTGCAAAGTATGTTACACATATGTTTGATTTGTAATATGGTGCAGATCATCTATAATCATTAATTGCTTATAGTAACAATTGGTCAACTTCAAAATACTAAACAAAAAAAAAATTATATCATTTTAAAAAATTTAACCGATAAGTTTTATTGTTCATGACTCGAGCTTCAAAAGTTATCGGCTGGTTTTTTCTTAAACTGAAAATTGGCAGAGCCTTAGCATTTTGAAAATTCCGAATTTTGTTATACATT